TGTAGTATATGCTGTTATTTTAATCTCCAAAATCAGCCTCTCTGGCGAGAGGTTACCTAGACAAGAGCCAAACACCTGTGAGGTATGTTGTTGTTGTTGCAATGGATCGTACACGTGACACCCTGCAGCGCCTCAGAGGAGAATTCCATCTTCATGCGGATGTTTCTTCCCCGTCTCACACCTCCATCAGGAAGGTCTTCAAAGTTGTTGTATGTCTCCTTGGCTCTTTGTGTGCGTACTCAGGTAGGTGTGTGTGTGTGTGCCTGCTCTCCTCACAGAGGAATTTCCCAACATACACTACTGTAGTATCCCCGAACGGAGGAGGGTGGCAGAGGAAGGGTTGTGTGAGAGCTGCCAACACCCGCCCCTCACCGCCTGAGCCACTCTTGTACAGTAGATCGAATCTCACGAGTGCCTATTTTTTCCAGGATGAAGAAAAATATTGTTACAGGCAGATGAGCAATTTAAAGATACTTCCTCAAAAATTAATGATAGCTCACATTTCTTCATCATTGATCCAATTCATCCACTTTTACTATAGCATTAAAACGTAACTATACCAAACTAATGTAATAAAAAACTTCGTGAAATGTTTAGGAAGTATTTATTAATTGAACTGTAACTCTTGGTGTTCTTGTTCTTCCTGGGAAACATTGTACACCTCACCCCACACCGGTATTGATCCCTGGCCGCTGTGCACACTGGACTAGCTGTGTACAATCAATTTTCCAAAGTTTGAGCGAGAGAACAACGCGGACGACCACCAAAACACCGGGATAATAGGATGTCTGGGTGTTAAGTGTCAAACCAATGCCTCAGAGTCGCTACGGCACAAAAATTACACCTAAAACCAAGTCAAAATTGCCGAGATTCTACCATAAGGAAACATGGTCTCTGTGTGTGTCGTGGTTGTAGGGAGAGTTACTGGCTACGTCCCCTTACTCGACTGATATTAATTCACTGTTCGCTGGGTGAATATATTGCAAGGTGTTCCTCCGCTCTTATCACTGTGGTTAAGCGTACTATACATTCAGGCTACTCTGTGTGTGTGTGTGTGTGTGTGTGTAAGTTAACACGAGGTAACTGGTGAGTATCCTAGTGGGGTCTACAGTACATAAGACGTTACACTGCAGGTTGTGAGAGGCGCCGCCCTGCCTGCACAGAAAAGTGACACCCAGGAATGCAAACATGCAACACTGACTGCAGACATAACCCACCCCCACCCCCCTTGTAGCTGTAGCCTCTGAGCTGATAACTTTTATTAGCTCCACTCCACGCGGTAGTTAGGATCACGTGAAGATTAACCCTTTTAGCCTATTTCACTTGATTAAGCACCATAATGTTACTTTGGAGGTTAGGTTAGTGTTGGCTAGGTTAGTGTTAGGTTAGTGTTAGATTAGTGTTAGGTTAGTGTTAGGTTGGGTTAGTGTGGTTAAATTGCAGATGAAATAAGGTGGGGGGATTGATCTTCAGGTGTTACGTTAGTTGTATTGCCCGATACCTGTGATATGAGCTCAAACCTTCTCCTCCTCACCCTCGTATATAAGATGTGATGCTCTTTAATGAAGCTCTCCTCACTGAGTACATTATCAACACAGGGTGAAGGGGGGGTGAGAAGTGAGGGAGGGGTGAGGGGGGGTGAGAAGTGAGGGAGGGGTGAGGGGGGTGAGAAGTGAGGGAGGGGTGAGGGGGAGGGCTGTTACTATCACCTTTCTCTTTGTTTTCATTCATCTGTTCATGAATAATATAAGTCAACAACGATAAATAACTGTTCTTGATAAAACTTGTTAATCTCTCACACACACACAGGTAAAGGTGGTGTTGAATCTGACTTATAAATATACATGTATAACTGACGAAGACAATGGTGGAGTGGTGTGTTCGCCCGGCGGATACCCACCCACCGTTGTATCCTCCCGACGACCCGTTGTGACGTTGGGAATCACTGCCTGGAGGTGTGTACAGTATGTGATGAAACTTAATAATTCCTCTCTCTCTCTCACACACATTTTCCCTTTCCGTCTTTTTATTCACCGGATTATACAAGTAAGGTGAATGGCCCAGGGTCACTGTAGCAGTAGGGGGCGAGGGGGCGGTTCTTAATACTACGTTCACCAAGTCTGAGTTGAAAGTTAATTGAATGTAGTCTTTTACACAATACGAATTTCAAATAGGAAAGTTCTTTTTTTTTAATCACCTCAATATTAGACACCCTAGCTTATGTCACCTTCACCCTAACGCTACTCAATTGTATCCTTAACCCCAGGTGGTGTTAGAGCATTTAATCATCAGGTGAAAATCTTATGGGTTGTCTAAACTTCAGGTGATCCTTTTTTCCCCGGGGTGTGTCTTGTAAATATTGTAAATTAAAATTCCTTTGTGAAGTAACAAGCGTATGTAAAAATAAATCTGTTTACATGGGGGTTGAGAAAGATTTGATTTAATATTACACTATTTACACTTTCTCCCAGGAAAATGATAACTTCATGATGGGAAAAATCTGCCTCAACGAATTTATTTATTGTTGTTGAATAAAAGTACAACAACAACAACAACACTGCCACTGTCTCTTACATATTTTCCTGGACTCTTTAGTGCATAATATAATAAAATATTCTAATATGTATTTCTCAAACAATTAGCTTTTAAAACAATAGAAATTTTGTTTTTGTGATGAGAAGTATTGGAGTGGGTTGGATCACCTTGGCCAGTCACCCAGCTGGCCACGTTTGCCTCACAGTCGTCTGGGTATGAAAAATACTGCATCTCGAACTGAACGCCAAATTTCCATCCCTCCTTCCCCACTCCTCGTCCTCCTACAAATATAACGAGAAAACTGTGCTTTGGCAGCCAAGAGAGCAACGTTAGCCAAGATAAAGTAAGATCCACAACCATACCTGGCTCGTGCCCCCGTGGCCTCAACTTCTACACAAGGTCAGGAGAACGACAACCTTGGTGGGCCAGTCTCGTGCAGTCCTCCCTTTACACCGTCGTTACATAATGAGTCGTAAAAATAATAAATAGATAAACAAACAATGATAATGGAAAATATACCAACAAAGGCGGAGATATTTTCGACACAGATATTGTCTTCGTCAGTCAGCCACTGGGAGAGGCAAAGGAACTGAGTTAGGTGTTAGGTAGTTAGAGCACCTGTTAATACTCTCATGTAAAGAACAGTACCTTAACTTAAATTACACTGACAAAAACATAATCATGAACACATACACATCCGTATATGCATGTCTGAGTAAATAAGAGGTTCACATGTACGTATCAGCCATGTGTAGTTTTTCAAGTAGTTGGTGTGAACGTCAATACAAACCAGACGTGACTACCTCTTGCCACCAACACACGCCCTCCTCCCCGTCTCACTTAACCTAACTTAACTCACTATTTAACCAGGCCCTTCTGTACTTTATGATTCAGTGTTTGTCATCCACATTGATACCCTTATTTTTGAATGGATATCAGTTCACTGGAGTCGGTGCAGCGAAGAATGACGAAAATGATTCCGGGACTCAGAAATCTTCCATATCAAGATAGGTTAAAGAAGCTAAACTTGCATTCCCTAGAAAGACGAAGAGTGCGGGGAGATATGATAGAAGTATTTAAGTGGGTGAAAGGAATCAATAAAGGGGATATAGATAAAGTTCTTATAATATCCGAGCAGGATAGGACTCGAAGTAACGGATTTAAGTTGGATAAGTTTAGGTTTAGGAGGGAGATAGGAAGAAACTGGTTCACAAATAGGATGGTAGACGAGTGGAACAAGCTTAGCAACTTTGTAGTAAGTGCTGGAACGCTGGAAAGTTTTAAAAGGAGGCTACATAGATTCATGGATGATAGAGAGTGGTAGTAACTCTCGACTGTGCACAGGCCAACCGGCCTATTGCAGAATCCTTATTTTCTTATGTTGTTATGGTGCACTGTGTGATGTCTCGGATTCATGAGTCTCTGGTTCCTGAAGGAGACGGAAGACTGGCAGGACCTTTTTATCGTGTCTGTACAGCTGTAGTAAATTCTTCTTGACACAGAGGACCACCAGAGGTACCCAGACTCCTGCTTCTTGACACAGACGACCAACAAGGGTACCAAGATTCCTGCTTCTTGACACAGACGACCACCAGAGGTACCGAGACTCCTGCTTCTTGACACAGACGACCAACAAGGTTACCAAGACTCCTGCTTCTTGACACAGACAGAGAGGAGCCTACAACTCGTGTGCCGGGGTGTTGGGTGGCCGCCTCCTACACCACATAATTACAACTCGTATTTTATTTCACCAAAACTTATTAGAGAACTATATTGTTGTTGTTAGCCTGGTGACTGTAACACACACACACACACACACACACACACACACACACACACTCTCTCTCTCTCTCCACACCTGTGTTGGGGTACATGAGGTCACTGTTACGTAATGTGAGTTGCTTATCCGACATACAGACGCCAGGTGTGAGAGACCTACAATTCATATCCAAACATACAAAAGCCTGCACACTAGTTCTTCTTGACTTTCGAGTCGAGTGGCAAGATATAGCAACCACGGTGTGTGTGTGTGTGTGTGTTTAAGATAGTTAATGTACTCGCTGGCGTCGTTCTTGGTGAGGGATATTTTTTTTACGGGTGAAAAACAAAGGAGTTAAGCTGAGCGAGGAGGAGCAGAAGGTAGAGTGACCTGGCCAGAATTACGCAACCTGCCGTCGTCCCTCACTCAAGACGTGACCGCCAATACCTGTGACTGTTTACTTATGTTTAAATACTGATCATTATTATTTTCCACCGACTTACTACCGAACATCTATCTAAAGTAATATTGTAAGGTTACGTCGATTTGTAGTATTCTCTTTATTTGTACAGATAGTGCCTGTGCCTCCCGAGGGTAGCAGACAAAGGAGACACTTCAGGGTACAATATTCCTCACAGGTAAAGGAACATAATCTCGAGAACTAATTTTGTAACAGCAGAGGACCTGAGGGAGCAAGTTGACCTACCTGAGTGATGATGTACATTTTATGGGCCAACGTGGGGAGGTCTGCCAGGGAGTGTCCGATGCTGAAGGCGACGAAGGATCCACGTTCAGGATAGAGTTCACTGTTGACCCTGCTGATAGTAGACCGTAGAGAGGCCATAGAGGGCCGTGAACTCATGTTCCCGAACGACAGTCCTCCAAATGACGGCCTCGAGGACAAGCCCCCGAAAGAAGGCCTGGAAGCCATGCCTGGGAAGCCCGGTATGGAGGTCGTGGAGAAGCGTGACTGTCGGGCTTTTAAGAAGGGCAGTCGATCTCTTTCTTCGTCAGCCTCTTCTGAGTTGGTAGCGCCGTTTTTAATAACGGGACGATCTTCAGACAGCGGCGACTCTTCATTCTTCTCTACGTCGGCCTCCGTGGACTTCATTTGAAACGCGACGTGTTGGTTGCTGCCCTTCTCTTGGTCTGTGGAAGACATGGTGTCGGCCAAGAAGTCAACCTTTCACCTACAACACGTGCAGTTAGCTAATGTTAGAAATATATCGGCTCAACCGATGACATCCAAACATTAACACTTTATAAGAACAAAGTTTACACAATGTTTTCAGTCACTTTCGTACATGAGTCAAGAACATAGTACCACAACGCTTAAGTTCCTGACACCGCACGCGGGCACCAACTAACAGACTCGCACTGTCTCGGACCTACGGCTGCGGCGACAAAACCTGATTTGGCTTCTGAACGTTGCGCCCTGCTTATATGTGTTGAGCCAACACCCCCCCCCCCCCCCCCCCCCTCTCCCTAGCAGCGCCCAGTGTCAACACTTCGCATCTGAGCTGTGTCTGACTTGTGTCCGGCTATAGAGCACCAAAGATATTTTTGTATGGGTGTGAAAACAAAGGTGTTGCCAATACTTGCTTCCTTCTATATCACGCCTCGAGGGAACAACGCACAACACTACTGTCTCCCGTCTACTCAAGGACACCGCCGCCTGCTGCTAACGTTAGGACATCACGCAGGGACTTGATCTATAGGCATATTGTTGAAATTAAAATATGCAAGACAATAATAGTATCAGCAGGACTCTTATAAGATCACAATACCCTCAGTGAACTAGGCGGGTCTTCACTGCCAGACGTACGGTGCACCATCTTGGTCGACACTCACAGCTTCACACATGGCGCGGCGATCAACAGCTGCATATAACAATACATACAAAACAGCTGATTAGACTACAACTGAGATTAAATGCACCCTGCAATGGACAGTAGAAGAGGAAGGAGTAGTGTGTGTGAAGGAAGGCACTCACCTCACCTCACCACCCACATCCACCTCCTCACACTCAACCTCACTATTCATGAGTGACATAATATTACACACAACTAAAAAAAATATCCGATTAAGATAACATAATTAATGATCTTCAAAAAACAAGAGATTAATTTTATGATAAACTCCTGACGAATCCACGACGACGGAGAGTATACTGCAGTAGATGAGGTGACTGACACACACACACACACACACACACAGAGGACAAAGTCAACAAACAGGATTACCTCAGTGTTAATGAAAAATTGAAAAAATAAACAATTCGATGGTCAACATATTTTTGTCCCAGGATGAAGGTGAACCACAAAAACTTCATGGGCGAGACTGCTGTTGCTCGGTCTCGGGGGGGGGGGGGAAATTGGTCACGAATTCAACTTAGATAATCTGTGGCCAAAAATCTTCATCAACATGGAAAATCAATCCATGGGAATATGAAGCAAAAAAAACCGCTTGTCGACATCTTAAGCACTTTGGTAATATTTCCAACCTAACCTAACTTAAGGCAGCTAGAATGTTAGCAGTAATTCGCTATACTAACCCCACAGTCAGGCTCCCGATGCTGTACCTTCGCCTCACCTCATCACACTAACACGGGAAGGTTACCTAGGGTGAGGCAGCAGCTGTGACAAGACTTACAGCCAAAAATTTTCTGGGACACAAGACACCGCTGAGGAAGTGTTTTAAATCCTCACAATAATGGTAATCGTTTTAGTAATTTTTTGTGCCTGTAAATCACTGTAAACAACGTTGATTTGTATCTCCTTTTTCTTCAAAGTACTTTCACTAATCTGTGACCAATCCCCGAGTCTTACCTGTAAAAAGATATTTGGTATTCCTTGTAATATATAAAATTTAATCGGTTTTAAGTAAATCAAAATAATATTACCAAAAAAAAACGTAAAAAAAGGCGACATCAGGTAACTGAGTACTGTATATACCTGAGCTATGGCTGGCTGCCGTCACCTTGAGATAAGGAAGACCAGCGCGGCACGACGGGGCACATTACGTCTCCACCACCAGTGTCAACAGAGGCACCACTCGCCCAGGGTAGCACCTCTCGAATTCACATAAACATTACGTAGGTGTTTCTAAAATAATGATTAGTAGCCATACACGTCAGAACTAGCAACTCGTCCTCTTGCACTTAAAAACTTCTTTCCTGACTTAAATAATCTAACTTGCGATGAATTAAATTTCACATATGTTACGGAATAGTTTTGTCTCTTGCTCAAGGTTAATTTCCTATATTTACTCACAGGCATCTCCACTCTTGTTATCACGAGCATCACAACACACCACAAGGTTCCTCTCACCCCACCTCGCCTCTCTACTACCATACTACCGCTAACACTATATTATTTACTCTGAAACACACTATCTGAGAGTGCCACATACTTGCCTCCGAAGCCAGACATAAATATGACCACTTTACTGATGCCGGAATGAAGATCAAGTTACTGTGGATTCCTTCTCACATAGCCCACGAGAGCATGATAGAGCTGATGCCTTAGCTAAACTCACTTGTTATAAAGTTATTGTTGAATGTGATCTAGAAGTGTCGGAGAAAACTCAAGCCAATCACGTGGAGCAAGTGACAAGACCCATAAACTTGTTAGACTAGGATTAGGATATAAATACCTCAAACAGTATATCCCTAACCTAACCTACACTAACTCCCTACACCTCCCTACCCACACTAACACCCTACACCTTCATACCTACACTAACACCCTACACCTCCCTACCCACACTAACACCCTACACCTCCCTACCCACACTAACACCCTACACCTCCCTACCCACACTAACACCCTACACCTTCCTACCCACACTAACACCCTACACCTCCCTACCTACACTAACACCCTACACCTCCCTACCTACACTAACACCCTACACCTCCCTACCTACACTAAGTAATTGTGTAGTTTTTCCAGATGAACATAATTGTGTATTTTCTTATATAATTATGAAACAGTAAACCACACATTAAAAGTTATGTGGATATTTCAATGACAAAGGAAAAATATTCTTCATCAAATATAGTTTCTTGAGAATATAATCATCACTTTCTGTTTACACTCAATCGTCAGGCTCTTTAATGGTCGACGAGAGGATGGGTGTAGCAGGGTGCACAAGATAACTTTCCCTTTCATTTCATTAAGATACTTGTTGTTTGTTTGTTTATCTATCCATTTAAATATATATTAAATCTCTGAATACCACACAGAGAGACAACTTGATGACGGTGTAAGAGAGAATTGTGGTGAAGTGTATACGCTGACTACTTGCTGGCTGGCGACTCTGGGTTATATTACACGGTGGCAACAGCTGCTTAGTGAGCGTTGGTGTTGTGCTGCAGACAGAGCGGGGGCTGTGTGTGTGTGGCCTGAAGAGCACCCACACAGGTACTACACAACAACTGGTTATTATACACGGGAGTAGTCACATTAGATTTCTCAGTAAGATAAGATTGTCCTTACCCGGTTGTTCCTCATACCATCTGAACGAGGGACGGAAGGATCAATGTTGAAGGTCGTAGTTCGAACCCTAATAATATGAATGGCTTTAACCGTGAGATTTTCGATAGAGGTTAAGATTGGACTAAGATCACGAACATTAGCCGCAGTTTATTTTGCCTTCAGATTAACCACGCTAACCTAACCTAACAACACCCTTTCGTTGCTTTTATAATCATTACCAAAATTCCATCAGGAGGAAACAGCATTTTAAAGTAACACAGTCCTCAACACAACACTCCAAACCTGAAATAAATCAATCAAGACGTTGTTAATACATAACCTGGAAACAAAAGAGTTCTTACAAGCGCACATGATCAGTTCCCAGAAAGGTCCCCAAGCAGGTAACATTTGTCTGAGAGTAACGCTGCCTGGTGCTTGGCAATGGGTGTGTTTATCATCCAGAAATAAAGTGTAAAATATTAAGAGATAGTGTGGACGAGATACCAAACACCGGGTGAATAACACAGCTGCTACAAAACCAACCCCTGTTACTTCGTCCACCTCTGATGCCTACACACACACACACCAGTCTGTTTTGAAATTTTGGACGGACTGACTATTAACACACACACGCACTCTCTCTCTCTCTCTGATGCCCTGACACACTACACGTGCAGTCTACTACCATCAACTCTATAGTTTATACGTATTAATATACAAAAAAATAGTGAAATATGTAAGTATCTTCTTTTAAAATAATCTTCACTTTTCTTCACACCCTTTTGTCAATTTTCTTTTAATCTACCTTTATTCGACAATAAATACTCTTTACCCCAACATTCATCTTCTGTATGCAAATGGATCAACCACTTCTTGGAATTTTAGTTTCAATTAAACCTTTTCTTTTCAGAGATTCAAACACCATATCTAGCTGTTACTCCTGTACGCTGTCCTCCTCCCCTGGTTCTCCTTACTGCACCAGGAACACGTCTGTATGTCAACACATAATCTCTCTACTACCTTGTCATCCCAATTTGATAATCAACATTGCATTTATTCCGTGTATCAACTTTTCCTTTTAACTCAATCTGATAACATTTATCCCATCTCTCAACAGAACAAATATTGATATGCATTAATTTCTCCGTATATTTCATCTGTTTATTTCACGTCTTCATGGTAATATATTTTGTTATTTATATTCCTTTTTTTTACGGCCTCTGATTGCTTAATTTCACTCCTATATTTTCCTTGTTCTTAAACTTAATATTAAAATGTTTTCCAAATTGCTTCACCTTCAGTTAATTTGTGGTGGTGATGCTTGTTTATGCTCGCCCTGGGTGGGATATGGGTGAAGGAGGTGTGAGTGGTACGGGTGATGTGGGGGAGGGTAGTGTGGGTTCCCGGATCCTTTGCCATTCTTCTTCTCCTTCTTCCTTCTTTCTTCTTTCCTCTTTCTTCTTTCTTCTTCCTCCTCCTTCTTCTTCCTCCTTCTCCTGGTTGACATGATATGTATCCTGCCTCCATGTACCGTTGTTAGTGTGTTGACAGTACCGCACCACTACCCTGCCACACACCTACCCTGTCACATTTTTACCTTGCCACACCTCTACCCTGCCACACCTCTACCCTGCCACACCTCTACCCTGCCACACCCCCACCCTGCCACACCCCCACCCTAAACACCCTGCCAAAACACGCCATAACCTACTATTGCACTACACTTAGCCTAATAAGGTTTATTTAATCAATGATAAAGTAATTTAGTACTCATTATTTTTTTCTTGTAGTTCTTTCCATCGTAAACAACAATTTCTCCTCACGAAACCCTTTTCTCTCTAACTGAGTAAGTAAAGGAATTGACTTAACACCTAACCTAACACTTGTAATGAATAAGGAAGTTAATGATATCTTGGGATCATCGTGTTTTACGCCCGTATTAAAAAA